CAAAAAAGCATGTAAAATGAAAGCGAAAGTAATTGTTTTTTCTTAATTGCATGCTCATTTAATTAAACTCAGATTAATTAAATTCAAAAGTGGGTTTTTAATTAATTCAATGGCATAACAAGGAAAGAGACCCAATCTTTATTTAAAAAAAAAAAAAAAAAAAGACGACTAGCTTAACATTTGAATATTCAAAAGTAGTTGTTTGAGAATAAAAAGTTTCGAAAGTGGTATGAAACAAGTGCTTCAGAGGTAGATCTTCTTGAAAAATTCTAATGAAAATTCAACCACTACACCTTTTTTCAAATGTGTACAAACTCGATTTAGATGGCTCATTTTCTTCTTTAAATAATGTCAGTTATTTTGCCCTAACACCATGACAAGAAAGATCGTACCAATGCAAATATCAACCGAAGTGAAAATCGTTTATTGTATCCAACTCTTTCGGTATTGCATATCAAATGGGGCTTCTAATTATGAAGATGTTATGGGTGAATTAGGGTTCATCTTTGCAAGTATTAATCTATCCCCTTTACTTTATTTTTTTCTACATTAAGTATTTGTCAGCTAATTCCTTGATGATTGTCATTTTCAAAAGATAATTTCATTAATTCACCTAATTCCTCAAGTAAACGTATCGTGCACGTAGAATTCTTGCCTAGGTTGTAAATCAATTGTTCTTTATTATGTGAATTTGAATAGTCGATAAAAAGATGAATATATCCAAATTTGGCCTTTGAGTCGAAGATAAAAATATTGTTACATATGAAGTGAATATTCATCTTATGTTTTAAGAAAGTAGTCCAATGATGTAGGCGACTCATGATGGTCACTAGATCTTAGGGTCCATTTAATTGTAAGGGTGAAAAATGGGTGGAAAGAAAATGATTTCCAGAGAAAGTAATTGCTTATAAATTATTTTGCAGAGAATTATTAATTAAGTGTGTTTGATTGGTATAATTTTTCACCCGAAAAATTTTAAATTTTTCTATTCGTTTGGCTTTATTTTACATAAAAATTATCACTTTAAGTGATAATTTTTTTCACAATTGGTTATAAAATTTGTTTCCATTGTCAAAAAGTAAAAAAAAATGAAAAAAAAAATTGTTTCCTAAAAAATCATTTTTTTAATCAAAGTTTAGTGGTCGTTTGACTTTGTTTTACATGAAAATTGTCCATTAAAGTAAATTTTTTTTTTTACAATTGGTTAAGAAATTTGTTTCCATTATCAAAAAATAAAAATAAAAATTCAGACACCTGGAATTCAATTTTCCCACCAAAAAGGTGGGAAAACCTTTTCATCAATTGAAGGGAAAAAGGAGCGCGTGAGTTGAAACATGGAAAGCATTTGGGTGGTAAAATTTTGTCAATCAAACATCTTGATTTGTGAAAAATGAAATTTGAATTCCATTTTCCATGGAATTCAATGCCAATCAAACAGGACATTAGATCTTACAGTTAAAAGTAGGCAAAAATAGCTTGGTCAAAATAATCTCGTTTGTATGTACTTAAACTTCTATGTACAACTCATTTAAACTTACGGTTTGAAAAAAAATCAATAAAGTTACTTGAAAGTAATTATTTTATGGAGAGCCCTTAATCTGAAAAGGATATTAGTATTTAAAATAAATTTTAAATTCATAAGCAACTTGTGATATAAAATGAAAGATATGAAAAATGTTCATACTCTTGCGTTATTCTTTTTCTAACTTTTTTCATCTTTATTTAGCTAACTGAAAACCCCATAAAGTAATTCGGTGATGGAAAAATTAATGTTCCAAGAACATTGATGCTTGGAAAGATACTTGTCATGTTCAAACTAGGCTTAGGACCACCTCCAAACTCATTTCTTTATACTCGAGGGCAAATTTTCATTAAATTCGAAGAAACCCTTGTTACAAATTTATTTTTTTATTATTATTATTGTTATGTAAACTCCATGTATTCCAAATTTCCTCAACTTTTAGATTTTGGGAATTACTTGTCATGACCGAACTAGACTTAGGACCACCCCAAACTTATTTCTTTATACTCGTGGGCCAATCTTCATCAAATTCGAAGAAACCCTTGTTACGAAATCTTTTATTTTTTATTATATTAACTCAATGTATTCCTCAACTTCTAGAATTTGGGACTGCTTGATTTGTGCATTTGTGTCTCTTTTACCTATTTGATATTGCGTGCTATTATTGTAGTTTTAGGGTTAAATTGTCAGCATTCCAGCAAATAAAAATAAGCCAACTATGACATTTTTATGAGGTAGCCATAAACTATAATCTTTTATAAGAATCGCTTCAATTAAAGTCTTTCATGGACACAAAGATACGATATACAAGATTGAACAGAACAATGAACAATCGTTCACACAACTTTGAGTAACAAAATGTACCCCCTTAAAATCGTTTAGTAGAACTTTCAAGGATTGAGATAACAAACCATGCTTCAATTTCGTTAGGAGGAAGAAGTCTCTGCGATACTAATTGGAACTAACAAAGTGAATGAAGTGAAAAAGTGATGGTTAGGATAATCGACTTCATCTATTTACTTCGTCACATTCGCCCGTAACCTCACATGGATTTGAGTCTCTAGTTTCTATAATCTCATTCAATTATATTCGTCTTACGTTTCAAAATATTTTATAAAATCTATGAATTTGTATTTTCCACATTGTTAGGTTTTTCTGAGGTATGTTCCAACCATCACCTTAATTACTAACCGGACCCCTACAAAAGTCATCCACACAAATACAAATATACAATCACCAAAAATATTTGAACAATTCTCTAGTCATTGTCATTATTAATGAGGGTAATAATGTCAAGAAGTAGACTGATTATGATTGGTAATGATATGGTCAAGGCCTATGTCATTCCCACTTCTACCTCCTCAATTTCAGTTTTTTTTTCCTTCCCCCTCCCTTTATTTAAGAAATAATTAATTCTTATAAAATAAATTACATAAAAAAATAAAACGTTAGAAATTTTTTTACCTTTACCATTACGGGCCTATATCAATGTTCTTATTCTTGTCCCCGATTCCCTCGATAGGACTGACAACCTTGGGGAAGCCACTCCCAACATGTTAAGTGATTTAAAAAAGGTGCAAAAACGAAAACAAAACAAAAATAACAACTAAAGAGAAAACTAAAAGTGCTACTTCCATGATAAGTTGAAATTATACTCAAATATATCATGAATCTTGAAAAGTAATATAAAAATAACAAATTAATGAGAGTTCTTAATTAAAAATAAGTGAAGAACAAGAATCAACAACTAGTAGTTTCATAAATCCATCATGATATTGTTTTCTATTATTTCTTTCGAGTTGAAATATGTTATCCATAAATGACTGTCCCTTTATCATAGTTGCCTCAACTATGATACTTATATTAACTATATTACCTTGGAATAGTTAACACTCACACAATATACTACAAGTGACATAACATTTGACCATTGTGTGTTGCTATTTGCTATTCCAATGTGATCTAAGGGAAAAAAATTAGCACTCTCAAAGTGTCGAACATTTAGTACTTCATGCCACTATTTAATCGATATATTAATTAATTGAAACTTGTTATATAATTAGTACCAAGACATGGATAAATAATAAATATGTCAATTAAATGAATAATGCTATTCATCATCTCTTCGGCTTATCCATAAGTAGTTATGTGACATTTAGATAAGGCAATTAAGCCCTTGTTTGGTGACCATTTTTAAGAAAAAAAATGATATTTTGAATCGTGATTTTTTAAGAAAGTGTGATTAAAAATAAGAAAAATTTTGAATTTAAGTGTAAAATATTTTATTGTGTGAATGCGTTGTTAAAAATGAGTATGAAAATCTATTTTAAAAGGAGACAAACATGGGCTAAATGTGTTACTTGTGGAATCGACACGATTTAAGCATTTTTCTACTTTCCATTTTTAATTGATTTGTCATCTTAGTTGTCATTTTAGTCCACCAAATAACCAGTGACACCACATTCCGTCATCGGGGATCCAATCTCGCAGTTGTGAAAAGGTCGAGAAGTAAAAACACCTCACTTTTGGAGATTAAGGCCACACTAAAGGAAAGGACGAGAAGTCCAACCCTAATTTTCCACTAGTTAGAGACGACATCTGTTCGTATTTCAGAAAAAAAGTTACTAATAAATTATTATTTTTCGTCAAAATTAAACACTAGTTTCAACCAACATTCATAATTACTAACTATTTATTATTCATAATTCCGTTAAACCCAATACTATTTATTTCAAAGTTACTGATAATTTTAGATATAATTTAGTGTACCGCGCATAAAATACGAACACTTTAATATTTCATGCAATTAGAAATTAACACAAAAAAAGAAAAAGAAAAAGGGTGTATTATTATTGGGAATGCAATAGGCGTGGAGGACGTGAGAAACAGTAACCGGAGATGGCAATCTAAACATCCAACTTCTATGTTAATTATTTCAACTTTTCGATTATTACCACCAAATCACTTCTTGTAGGTCAAATGTTGTACAGAGATAGATGCATACACACGACTCAAATGTATGCATATATGGAGAGAGAAACAAGAAGAAATTGAACAAAGTGAAAAACTGAGAGAGAGAGAGAAACACATAATGTGTGTGTGTGTCTGGTAGGTGTAGTGTGATGGAGGGGGCAATTTAAAGTAAAACTGCAGCATTTGGTCTCTGCTATCCTTAACATCTCTTCCTTTCCCAAAGCTTCTCTTGTCCCCTCACCTTAAAATTCATTTTCTCTCTCTAGAACCACCGTCGGAGTATTTCTGTCAGGCGCTGACCCTTTTCAGCATTCTTGCTGAAAAGTCTTTTCCCTTTAGGTTTTGAAAGAAAAAAGTACTTTTTAGCTACATTAAATCCAGTTTTGAAAGTAAAATTTAGGGCTTTCTGTTTGTTGTACCTCTGATTTTTCTCCGGCGAAATGAAACTGCAGTGAAAAACTCCGGCAGCTGAAATAGAGTTTCCGGCAGGTGAATCAAAAGAAAAATGAAGGCCACCGCTGCCGGAGCTCAACCGGCGAACACCATCTCTAACCCATCTGAAGGTTACTATTTTTAGCTACTCTTAATCTGTATCTTTATTGTATTTATATGCATTTTTGTTGATATATCCGAACAATTTTTTGTCCTTTTTCAGTATACTTTTCGATTCTTAAGTTTATCGAAACAATTAAGAACCTCTTATTTCTTGATTTTAAGTTATTTATTTGGATTTTTACACGAAAATTTTCACAGGCGAACCGAAGAAGAGTATAAACCCTGAGCTATGGCAAGCTTGCGCCGGGCCTCTGGTGAACCTGCCGGCCGCTGGGACCCATGTAGTTTACTTCCCTCAAGGCCACAGCGAACAGGTTTTTGTGCTGAACCTCTTTTGTGACTGTTGCTAATGTGCGCCGGTGTGGTGTCAGTTTTTGCTGACTTTGTGTAGGCTCACATGCGTGGGATTCCATTATTTTTGTATTTATGTATGTGTGTGAACATTTCTATGGGGTGCATCATCCTTGCTATCGTGCGCTGTTAATTGGATTAAATGACTGGATCATGTGAGATGGGAAAATCAAAGTTGGTACAGTTTGAAAATGAGTTGGATTTTTTAACCCTGGTTAAGTAATGAGGTGACAGTGGAGCCCACGTCCCGAATCCACACCCCATAACTGGTGATCGATGAGCAATTGTGGGGTGCTGGCTCCACTATCACCTAGACGGGTAAAAGAGAAGAATAGAGGAAAGAAGAAAAGGACAATATGTATTGGACAATGTTAACGTGCGGTGTGGTGCTGAGATCTTTTGTGTACAGTGGAGTGACCGGACGACCGACAAACTTTGTCGGGTATCGTATCTTGTCCACCGAAACATGGCGTAAAATGTACGGGATATTCTTTGGTGATCTATTTTATCTTTCGTATTTTTATGGTGGAAAGTTTATTGTTGGATTTTCTCGGAAATGATAAGATCGTATTGATTAATTTGTCTTGTTATTGATCGCTTCTCAAATATGGACACAAGTGTAGGATATGGGAGGTTTTTGTTTTGAGATCCAATCGTAGTAAAAGATTATATTTGTTTTTGAACTTAATACTTATTCTCGGATTTCCAATTTCAGGTTGCAGCATCCATGAAAAAGGATGTCGATGGACAAATCCCAAACTATTCAAATCTTCCCTCAAAGCTACTATGCTTCCTTCACAATATTACTTTACATGTATGCTAGCTTAACTTTCTCTCGCAGAACATGAACTTATATCTCATCTTTCACGTCGATAATAACTGTTATGATTTCCCAATATCTTTTAGGCTGATCCAGAAACGGACGAAGTATATGCTCAGATGACACTCCAACCAGTTCCCTCCGTATGTATTAGCCGTAATTGAAGAATATTCATGTCCTTGTGTTTGATAATGTAAAACTGACTCTATTCACATTTAATGTGCAGTTTGACAAGGATGCATTATTGAGATCGGATCTGTCAATGAAAGCAAATAAACCACAACCAGAATTTTTCTGTAAAACCTTGACTGCAAGTGATACAAGCACTCATGGCGGTTTTTCAGTACCTCGCCGTTCAGCAGAAAAAACTTTCCCTGCTCTGGTACGTTAGACAATCCCATTCTTTCACATCGTACACCTTTGTCAATTCCTGCATTATGTCTTGTGTTGAGAGAATTCTTGTCTAATTTTAGGACTTCACAATGCAACCACCTGCTCAAGAGCTTGTGGCGAGGGATTTGCATGACAACTCATGGACGTTTCGTCATATTTACCGGGGTAAATTCAAGGGCTACAATAATAATTGCTCCCTGCAGTTTTACTTTCGAGTTACTTCTTTTAACTTTTCATGGTTCGAATTCCCATCTCTTAGGACAACCAAAGCGCCACTTGTTAACGACTGGGTGGAGCCTTTTTGTCAGCGGAAAGAGATTATTTGCAGGTGACTCGGTTTTATTTATTAGGTATGATGTAAGTTGTCAGAAATTTTCATTTTCTATTTCCCTTAAATTGTGAAAGATTACATAGGCTCGACCTTTGCTTATTGATTAGCATCCAATCAATTATCTCAGTACTATACTTTTTTCTTGTGCATAGGGACGAAAAACAGCAGCTTCTTTTAGGCATAAGACGGGCTAACAGACAACCAACCAACTTATCGTCGTCTGTGTTATCAAGCGATAGTATGCATATTGGAATTCTAGCGGCAGCTGCCCATGCTGCTGCGAACAATAGCCCCTTCACCGTGTTTTACAATCCAAGGTCGTTATTGAATTTTCTTTACTTGTATGCTATGTTTGTTCTAAAACAATTTTTTTTACGAACAATCTTTTCATATTGGAACAGGGCAAGTCCTTCGGAATTTGTTATCCCGTTAGCCAAGTACTACAAAGCAGTTTGCAGTAACCAAATATCTCTTGGCATGCGCTTTCGCATGATGTTTGAAACTGAAGATTCGAGTACAAGAAGGTATGAAGAATCAGAATTTTTGGATTATCGTCGTGTCGTTTGACTTAAACTGATTGAATACGATTTCTGTAGATATATGGGTACAATAACTGGTATTAGTGATATAGATTCTGTCAGATGGAGGAACTCCCAATGGCGTAATTTGCAGGTTGGTGAAATATGCGCTCCCTTTTCTTTTATACTTTTATTGCCGGTGTTTCGAGTTGATAATTTAACCTATAGCCACGTCATATTTTATGAGCAGGTCGGTTGGGACGAGTCGACTGCTGGGGAAAAGCGTAATCGTGTCTCCATTTGGGAGATTGAACCTGTAACTGCTCCATTTTTTATTTGCCCGACTACACCTTTCTTCCATTCAAAGCGGCCAAGGCAACCAGGAATGGCAGGTAACCCTGGAGCAGAGATAATGACCAAGTACTTTTCTCTTATCTGTTGTTTTAAAATATTGATTACGTTTCTCCTTGCAGATGACGACTCGTCTGACCTAGATAATCTAATCAGAAGATCAATGCCATGGATTGGGGAAGACTATGGGATGAAGGATCCCCAAGCTATACCCGGCCTGAGCTTAGTCCAATGGATGAACATGCAGCAAAATGCTTCCCTGGCTAACTCAATGCAGCCAAACTACATAAATTCCTTATCGGGATCTGTTATGCAAAGCCTTTCTGGTGCAGATCTTTCTCGTCAGTTAGCTTTGCCGGCACCACTTTCTCAGCCAAACAACTTACAGTTCAATACTCAAAGGCTGGCCCAACCCATACAGCAACTAGATCAGCTCCAAAAGCTGCCGGCCTCCTCATTGAACCCGTTAGACTCCATTATACAGCCACAACAACAGTTAACGGACATTGCACAACCACCTCGTCAAAATTTAATAAATCAAACTTTACCTGCAAGCCAAGTTCAGGCCCAACTTTTGCATATGCAGAGTCCTACCCAAGCTCAGAATGTTATTCAACAATCTCTCGTAAACCATCAGCTTCAGAGAAATCTTCCTCAAAATCTGAACCAGCAGCAGAATTTCATGTCGTCCCATACAGATCATATAAGCCAACACGTGCCTGAAAACCAAATTCAGATTCAACTTCTGCAGAAGCTTCATCAGCAACAACAATCACTTTTAGCACAGCAATCTTCGATGCAACAGCCTCCTTCCCAACTAACCCAATTCCAGGATCAGCAGAAGCAGCTTTCGGACGTTTCTCAGAACTTCTGTAGGTCTGTGTCAACCAGCCAAATGCTCGATGGATCTCCAGCAACATCCACTTCACTCCCTCAATCGCATGTTATAAACCAGCAGATGACGAGAAGTAATAGTCAAACTAATCTTCGGTTTGCCCATCCACCTCAACAACTGAAACTGCAACATCAACAATCTGGAATACTATCAGAATGTCCTGGACAAATGGGGAGCAACTTAAACCCAATGAATAATCAGCTGTTGACTGCTGGAACAATCAATTGCCAGTCTGTAGTGACTGATGAAGTTCCATCTTGTTCCACTTCACCATCTACAAACAACTGTTCGAGTGCTGTCCAGTCCATAATGACTGGCAGAAACCATCGAAGTATAACACCGGGGGATGAGATAGCTCAGTCTTCTGCTGGTCTATTGGGTTCAAGTAATGATTTAGGGACTATCTCTTCAAATGGTAACTTGGTTAAAGATTTGCAGCAAAAACCCGATATTAAGCCTTCGTTGAACATATCCAAAAGTCAGAACCTCGGATTTTATGCATCCCAACCATATCTCAATGCTGCTGGAACCCAGATCGATTATTTCGATAGTTCATCTTCGGCTACATCAGTTCTCTCTCAAAACGACATCCAGATACAGCAAACCAACAACTCAATGTCATTCAATTCTCAGTCAATGCTGTTTAGAGATGCAAGTCATGACGGGGAAGTTCTGGGTGATCCAAGGAACAATGTTCCGCTAGCGGCCAGCATGGACAGCCAATTAGGGATGCCCATGATGCCAGATTCATTGATCGCAAAAGGGATGGCGGGATCTGGTAGGGACTTCTCGAATGGTCTCGCATCAGGAGCAGATATGCTTTCCAGCGTTGTGAACCCTAAGGAAACTCAACCCGAACTCTCATCGGCAGTGGTTTCCCAGTCGTTTGGAGTTCCCGATATGACATTCAATTCAAATGATTCCACGATAAACGATAGCAGCTTCATGAATGGAGGTGCTTGGGCTCCAGCACAGATGCCTCGGTTACGAACATATACAAAGGTTTGTTTTTTAATGCAAAAGCATTCATTTAGTGTTATCTTTTCATTTATGTTCTGTGATCTGAGTTGCCAAGAATGTTATTGAAGGTATACAAGCGTGGAGCCGTTGGAAGATCAATCGATATAACGCGTTACTCGGGCTATGAAGAGCTTAAACAAGATCTAGCTCGTAGATTTGGTATAGAGGGACAACTGGAGGACCGACAAAGAATTGGTTGGAAACTTGTTTACGTGGATCATGAGAATGATGTCCTGTTAGTCGGGGACGATCCTTGGGAGTAAGTCTTCGAACACAAAAGTCTGTATTGCCTTTCCATTCAGTCGTAAAATCCCCACCTTGATTTGTATATTTATATTGTAACTCATTGCGCACAGGGTATTTGTGAACTACGTTCGTTGCATCAAGATTCTTTCTCCTCGAGAAGTCCAACAAATGAGCTTGGACGGAGAGTTCGGGAACAATGTTCTTCAGAATCAAGCTTGTAGCAGCTCTGAGAATGGTGTAAATTAGCTCGTTCGCTTTAATTTTTAGCAATTCTTCTTCCGCGTTGAAAGCTTACCGTTGATATCCATAGAAGTTGCTCTCTAGTATAACATATTTTTGCCATTTTTGGGCCCGGTTTTTCTTAAAATGCAGCCATCAGGATCAAGGTATAGAACTTCAACCGGATAAATATAAGCTTAGTACAATTTTCATTCTTTTGGTTACAAATATAGAAGATTCTTCACTGCAAAGAGAGCTGCAGAAGTAAGAACTGTAATCTGTATGTTTGTAGTTTCTGAGTGTATAAAAATGTTTAGAATCAACCTTTTAATGCTACCTTTTACATCATTTGGTATACTCGACTAGGTAGTATTAAACAAGGTGCTCTCTAGAAGTTGCTATCCATAGAAGTTGCTCTATGGTATAACATATTTTTGCCATTTCCGGACCCATTTTGTTATAATGTTGCCATCAGGATCAAGGAACAGAACTTCGATCGGATAAAAAATATAAGCTTAGAAGTAATATTTTCATTCTTTTGGTTACCAAAATATAGAAGATTCTTCACTGCAAAGAGAGCTACAGATGCCAAGAGCTTGTAATTTGTATGTTTGTAATTTCTGAGTGTTTTAAAACGTTTAAAGTCAACCTTTTTAATGAAATCTTTAGCTGAAGATTGATGGATTACATCGTTTGGTATGGTCGACTAGAACGAGTATTAAAGGGGAAAAAAAAAAAAAGAGTAACAAATTTGAGAAATTGTGAACTGTAATGCTAAATTACATCTTTTTTATATTAGTTAGCCAAGTATATTCAATGATATAATAATGGCAATTTATGAAATTGTAGTATGCTACAAGTTAAATTTGGTGACAAGAAATGAATCTTTATTTTTGGTGTGAGAAGATTTGATAGAAATTAAAATTATAATTATAATTTACGTTAAAGTCAACAACTAATTTTAACGATGCATTTTATAGAACACGCAACTTTTCAACCTCACATTTTATCAATTTGTATCAAAATTTACTAAAAAGTTGATTTTAATCCCTATAAGGCTAATCTTTAGTCCGGGATGCAATTAAAATACTCTCATTTTTTGTCCTGCATCCTCAATTACCTTTTTCAAAGTTCAATTTAATATTTGAAAAAAAATAAAATTATGTTGAACAAATATGTGCAAGGCATGTGAGGCGCCACTATGAGGGTAAAACATAAATAAGTTTAATAAAAACAAATAACAAAGAAAACATAACAAAAGATAAATGTAAAAGACAGTAAAAAAGGGATAGAATTATGGAGTTACTATAGAGGATCGTGTTGGGCCAAAAGTAATGCAGGAATCCAAAATCTAAGTTTGACGAAGAAGGAATAAACCAACTTAAACTTCAGAAAGAGTACAGTCAAATTCACGCCATTGTGCGATGTGAAAATACAATACTATGTACCAGTTGATGATTGAAAGATTTGGACGAACGTCTTTCATCTAACTGACCATTAGGTCGGGACTAGGTGCCGACAAACTATCCAAGAGCGAGTTCTGAGGCTCCAGCTCTTCATGCCACAGAGGCAGGGTGTCACCGGGGTAAAACTTCCTTGTAACACCTTCTGAGTTAATCTACAATTGAAAAAAGACCAAGTTCAGAAATAAGTGCTCCTCTAAATGAAGTGCATGTTTGGCAAAGCTTAAATTACAAGTTAAGTTAATGAAATATACTTTCTATCCACACATATTGTAGGACCCACAACTACTACCCATTAATTATCCACTCATTTCGCAGTACTAGAATTTATAATCACTTTCCCAAGCATGCTCAAAGTTTTGTCCTTGAGCTATCTTGTTCATATTGCAGTTGGAAGCCAGAATAGAGACGAGTGCTTAGGTCGATGCTTTCTGATAATGTATCAAATACACCAAGACATGGATATATCACACAACGGTCTTGATGGAAGCAAATCAGCACAGGCATTCAGGATGACTACTCAACCAACTTCTAAATTTTCATTAATCAGCCAACCAATAGACTAATTTCACGTTTCCACTAAAATTTACTCTACTAAACTAAACTCACGTTAAACGGCTATTGCAAACCAAGAAACAATCGAAATTTCACATCCGATTTCCACTTCATGTAAGGGAGTTTCATCAAAGACCATAGACGATAATAAAAATTGAGAAACTCACGGTCACAGTCCGAACAACGCCACCACTAGCACCATCGATCACAAGAGATGGCAAGAGAGACGGCCTTGACCACTAATTGCTGTGGCAAAGTCAAAAAAATATGTATTAACAATCAGCGAAAAGCACGCTAAACAAGACCACGACTATGAAAATGTCAGACCAACAAGTAAAGTAATTATGAATTTTGCGAATTTCTTATTCATTACAGAAGCCGCACATATTAGAAGCACGCCATTATTGTAAGCTTCTGGCCCTCTGGCATATCCTTTCTAGCATAGGCTCTCACAAAACATCATCATTTCAACAAAAAAATCTTCTTCGGATAGAAAAGGCAGTTTTCAAATAGATGGTCATAATTGTACAACTAGTCTTTCCCCCGTGCGATGCACGGTAAGATGCACAAAACGACAATTCAATACTAATTTCGACTCACAAAATTTGCCACTAACCATCAATACAAATATAGTCCAAAAATCGTTATCATTCAACTTGGAAAAGGGGTAAAAAAGATGGGAAAAATTCAGCATTTTAAATTTCACTTCACATGACATGTATAAAAATCACGTCCAAACTTTTACTGAAAGTAATCATTAGAATTAAAATCAGGATTGTATTCATTTGATATATAAAATCAAAATTGTATTAATTTAAAATCAAATTTATTTTGTTCAATTAAGCTCATTTTTCTACCGTTGCTTATATCTCCCTTTAATCATTCATATCTAACGTTAATATAACATTCAAAATAATGCTAATATTACATTCAAAATAACAATATATACTGCACATTGTAGGATTTATTATAGATAGGATATAGATATAAACCTGTAAAAAAAAGAGAAAAAAAAATGTGAAAGTCTCCGCTTGCGGAGACATTAGCCTCCACTACGCGGACCGTATGAGATTTTTCATTTTTTTAACAGTAAACTAAATGTTAAAAAATTGAAAGTGAACAGGACGTTGTCAGGCAAAATTTAAAAGGTCAAAAATATCCTTTTTTTTACTCACATTTCCAAAAATATCCCTAACATTCCTTCAATTTTAAAAAACCTCCCACCATCTATTTGAAGGAGAAACTGGGAAATCAGAATTTGGTATCTGCCAAAAAATTCCAAAAGTCAATAATGGATGTCTTTCTTTGCAAAAAACCATGCGTGAAAATGAGATTGGAAAAAAATTGAAAGAAATGGAAATAATCACTGTTGTTAACAAAAACAAAAAAAAGAAAAATGAAGGAAATGGAACTAATCACTGTTCCAAGCACAGTGACTCATCATTCATCGTTTTATTATAGGTAGGAAAAAAATGGAAGAAACATATGCAGAACTTCCAAATAATGTTTTTTTATCACAATACAAACAGAAAACGGTTTGAATATTCCAAAATATAACCCATTTTCAGCTTTAAGTATCCCAAAAATCTAATATATACCAAAAACACTAAAATTCACGACAACAAACCTTACAAAGCTGTAAGTGCACCCAAATCGATCCGGAGTAGCTTTAGCCCATTTTCAGTTTTAAATCTCCCAAAATTTAACCCATTTTTAGCTTTTAATATCCCAAAAATATAGCAAACAGAAACGCTAAAATGCATGACAACAAACCTTTAAAAGCTGTAACTTGCCCCTTTCAAAAATTGATCCAGAATAGCTTTAGTCGGCTTCAAATAGCGTGAGCTAAGAGGAAATGTCATCCAGTGAAAGGGGGCGAAGATGTCGTCCAGTAAAAGGGCCGGAGATGCAAGAATGGAAAAATCAACAAAGGAAATCCGATGTAAGCACAACAAAGAAAAACTGTGAAAAATCAACAAAGAAAATCCAATGTAAGCACAACATCAACTATCAGATACTACCACGGCTATGTTTCTCAGAACACAATATCATCTAAAGAACGATCCAGTGCCAAACATGCATGAAAGATCTCTAATTCTGCAAACTCCACAGGGGCCTGTTTATGTCTTCCTTTGCGGTGTGAACCAAATCCAATAATGTAAACAATACAATAGCCCTTACAACCTTTACAACATCACAGTCAAAATTAAACATGGCCAAGATAGAAACCCACAAAAATACACCTTTCAAAAGAGCCGAAAATGATAGAAAATTCATCAAATTGCTTGCATATTCATACATTCATAAAAAGCAAGAAGATATTCATGAAATGCACTAATAAAAGTCAAGATCCCTAATAAAGGTCAAGATCCTGAAAAGTAGATGTATTTGAAAGAATTAACACAGATCTGATGGAGTAAACAACAAAATCTGGCGGTGGAATGTTTTATACGTATGAAGTGGATTCGCCCCCGTCAGTAGTCGGTCGTCTCCCTCCTCGCCTCTGCCGGTTTTTGGTTTTGTGGGTAATGGAATTACAATTAAGGAAGGAAAAAAAAAATCAGTTTCTTCTTCATTCTTTCTTCCCCGACGGACGGCGAGTGGAGCCTTGTTGGTGGGTTTGAAATTTTCCTGTCATCTCACCATTTGAGCGGGCAGCTCGTGCTACGCCAGCCTCTGCGTGCGGAGGCTGAAACCTCCGCACCCGGAGGCTTTCACCAGACTCCTGTACGGAGGCTTTCACCAGCCTCCTGTGTGGAGGCTACCTCCGCACGGCCGGAACCTCCGCACGCGGAGGCTTTCGCCAGCTTCCTGTGCGGAGGCTACCTCCGCACGCGGAGGCTGGGGTGGTACCTTCGTGTGCGGAGATGAAGGTGGTGCAGTGGTGAGATGAAGGTGGTGCAGTGGTGGGACTGTTTATAAATTTCACTGATAATTGACAAAAAAGAATTTGTTTGAAGATTAAGATTAAGATTGGTAGTGGATTTTGATGTGTAATGTGAATATACACGTGTTTAGTTTGGCTTTCAATAGAGATTTCATGGCTATTGTTTGAAGCATCGGTTGGGTTGTCGAGATTATAGGTTAAAACTCCATGGTTGAGCTATTTGAAGGTTGGTCGTGGTGAAAATTGAATTGAGCTGTTGAAGAAAGCTGCGACCTTTGGCGGGTTATTTTAGCATTTGGGATTACTTGGACTTTTTGCAGAGGACCAGTTATATGGTTTAGGCGGGATTCCTGGGCAGGGCTTGAGATGTAAGAACGATTTGAATTTTCTATTTTTCTTTCTCCACTTGGTAGCCAAATGATGTTCGGTCATCTTTTTTTGCAAGGACCACTTATATGGTTTGGGCGGGATTTTGGGCAGGAATATTGTTGCTGCACTATCCTTCTTTAATATAGTAAATAGATTGTAAGCATTTTTCAAAACCTCAGGCTGTGTGAAGTTCACAAGATAATATGTCCTTAGACATAGAGTGTAAGTAGGTATAGAGACTAAATACAAACCTCAGCTTCCTCTTGAGTCATTCCTTCCTTCCACACTTGGTCGAAGAAACCATACAAATAGGAAGAGCCGGATCCTAGAAAAAAAAATAGAAATTGTCAGAATTCTTTGCCTCAACCATTACCGATGAGTCATTAAAAACTGTCAAATATTTTTGCCAACAAAGATTTGTTGCCTTCTGAGGCGTAATCACATTAAGCTTTTCGCTTGACACGACAATTTTCATGGAAAATAAAAATAGCCAGGTCAAATGGTGTATTTCAGGTGTTAAAAGGAAGAAGTGCACCAGAAAATATATCAGGCATGAACTAAAATAAATGAAAATATATTGGTCAAAAAATGTTCTTAGCATATGTTTGGCAAGTGTCTGTAAACAGTTGTGTTTATAAACATATATAAATGGTTTGACACTTACGGTGTTCAATTATGTAGATAAAAAATGGTTTGACATTTGGCAAGTATTCATAAACACTTGCCAAACATACTCTTAATGACTATATGCAAGATTAGATTTTGCCAATTGCAAGTATTGGACGGTCTGAAGTACATAATTCAAGTACTTGATTGATTTTCACTTTAGATGTTGTAATTGACATATAAGATCTATTCAATGATGAATAACAGTTGAAGATGTGAACGCTGATTGTCCCAATGTTGTCAATCTTGATAATTATGACAGAATAGTGAATTATGACACTTACGGTGTTCAATTACAACCCACCTCTATATATTGATCATCTAAAATGTAACTAGTACGAGACTAAAATTGGATCCACGAGAAATTTTCATTAAATTAACAACTGCAAAAAGTAAGTTCAGAATACATGGGATGTAGTTACTCGCTAGAACCAGCTCCATAGCTGCTGAAATACTACCAGCCATTAATAACTAAATGATTGACCGTTTAGTATATGTGGGTGAAAAAGTATACAAACAAGAAACAACCGTACCTTTTGATGAAATTTTAGCAAAGCTCAAGCAACAAGATGGCGGTTCCAATTCAGAAACAAGAAGTAGATTGAACAAGAAACACAGTTGTTGACAACAGAGACAGGTGCACCCAAAAATACATAGTGATCACAACAAACAAGAAGAGTCTGTAAAAAAAATGAGAACGGCACACCTCCAATAGCAAAAGGCAGCTCCAATATTGTCCTTCCCAAAGGTATTCCAAATATTTTACGACCTTCAAAGTTGTCCCATCCACCAATAATGAGGCCGGTTTGCAGCATATTCTGTAGTCAGAATAGTAAAGTATGAAATAAATACCATATTTCAAATACAGATGAGGAATAATTCCGACGACCCTAATTTTAAATAATTTATTAGTATTCTTTAATAATAAAGGGAAAATTAGGTTGAGCTCCGCAACCTTTCACCTAATGTGAAAACGGCTCCATAACGTTCAAAAGGTTTTGACTCCTCAACCTATTCAAACATGTGAGATTGGATCCCCACGGAAACCATTAGTTTGACCATTAAAAAGTCAACAAAATTTTAAATGGCTATTATGCCCTTATTTAGAACTAAATGTTAAAAGAAAAAATAAAACAAAAATAAGTCAAACAAAAATAATGAAAAGAGAAAAAAATTCATTCTTATAAGATTTTGGTTTTCTTTTTTCTTTTAATATTTAATTCATAATAAGGGCATAACACAACCATTCTAAAGAAATTTTGACCATTTAATGGTTAAATTAACAATTTCCAGCATGTGGATCCAATCTCAAATGTTTGAATAGGTTGGGAGTCAAAATCTCACTTTTGATCTCATGTTTAAAGAGTCTGTTGGAGATACTCTAATAAGGGCATAACACAACCATTCTAAAGAAATTTTGACCATTTAATGGTTAAATTAACAATTTCCAGCATGTGGATCCAATCTCAAATGTTTGAATAGGTTGGGAGTCAAAATCTCACTTTTGAGGATTAGAGAGATGATCCCACACTAGCCGAAACGTTGAGGAGCCTAGTCCTAATTATGTCAGATCAGAATACTTAGAACACTAAAGATATTTGAGAGCTATAGGAAGATGTGAACATTAATTATCTATAGTTTCTCAAAACTATTTAAAATCCTAAAGATAAAACATATTAATAAGCTTAATGTCTTACCAAAATAAACCAAGAACGTGTTTGTGAACTATGTGTTAGAGGATGAGCAAGAAAAACTTATCCCTCTGACAATGTTACTATATAAAAATTTAAACTTGGCTATTACTGTTTGGAGGATGAGCAAGAAAAAATAGTACATTGATCACAGTTATACAAAGCGGACAAATAAGTGATGCCAAACAACACCTAGATTATAAAATCCCAAAAAAAAATATATAAATGCCAAACACTGTGAACATAATCCACCCTCATTCTACCGGTAACAGAAGGTACAAATATCCCACGAAGTTTCAAAAATGTGAGATAGCAACCCATGCATCTTATAATATATTTCATTTATATTTTGACTTTTTTAATATCATGCAATATTTTTTCCAGAAAACCATGCTAACGAGTTTACATTTTAAGGATCCAGATTTGAATATATAACTACTAATTCCGAGTATCAAAACGAAAAATATTTCCTTTGAATGTACTCTCCAAATGCAGGAGGGTTTTAACATGCAGATATTACATGGATATAAGACTCGGGATGAAAAAGAAAAATGAAATACAGACCTTATTATTGTAAGATAATAATCTGACAAGGTTTGCAGCAACCTTGATAGTTGAAGGCTGCCCAAGTTGTATCCTGCATCAACAACCATGCTATGAAAATTCCTTTCTACCGGGGATCAAGTAAACATTTATATCAATGTTCTCCTCAGGAATGAAGAAGTCCTCAAGGAATCAAAAGTAATAAGGCTCGACTCGTGCACATAAACAGGTGACAACAATACTTGAACCAGGACTTTTGCTCGGTTCTAATAACATGTTAACCACCACCCCACCCACTTACAATCTAAAAGCTTAAGTTACTAGATAGGGAACAAATGTAAATATTTAAATCATCTATTCAACACGCCCTACGTACTTACGTCATTTATTTTTCAATCAAGGTCCAACACCATATTAACCAACTCATCTAGATTAAACTATTAAAGAGGGGCATCATGCATCCATTTAAATCTTGTCTTCATGAAAGGACTTTTTTTTTAATAATCCTAAAGAAAGCAACTACAAAAAGATGATAAGAGTCTGTAGATTGTTACGCTAAACATCAGTGACCAGCCCATGGTTTCTCACCAACAAAATCAGGAAAGAGACAGAAACAGTGTTTATAATTCCACCCTTATTTGCATGCACCCTGATTGAGGACAATCCTAGGGCTGCTTATTAGTGTCACACAAAGGGAAAACATATTGGAGTATACATGCACAAATTCAGGAAATAGAGAACGAATGGAGCGAGGAACGATGGTAGAAAGGAAGACAGAGGCAAAGGAGGAAAGAGGAGCGCTTCACCCTCTCGGGGAGTGGGTGGGTGGGGGTGCAGGCAATATCCAAACATGCTAAATTTTCTACAATGACCAACTCTCTAACTGATAAAAAGCATTCATATGGACTCCAAGGACGGAAAACCTTAATAGGATTCCAATTTCTAATTTGAAAACTAATTAAATTACAACCTAAAACTAATAACTTTATCGCAAGAAAGATTACTTGACACTATTTGAATAAAGCATCTTCCTCTATCTTTGTCAATTATATATTTTTCTGAAATTATGAAAGTACCCCTGGCCAAAGAATACTTGAAATAGTTCAGATTCACAGAAATTTAATAATAGCTGACACATACAAAATTCCTGAATGTTTTGTATTTCATAATATTTTCAATGGGTTAATTTCACAAACGGTCACTGAAGTTACGTCAAAATCACAAAACGATCACTGAAGTTTAAAACTTGCACTAACGTGACTGAAGTATCATCCAGTTTCACAA